AAGAAAAAAGTCATGAGAAAAAGATTCGTCAAATACAGTGTTAAGAAGAAATATTTTTATTTCACCATTGAGATAACGAAAAGATTGCAATTAAATTAGCTGAAGTTTTAAGGAGACAAAGAAATAGATGGATTCTATCTGTGATCATAACATGGACAATTTTACCGTTTTTAAGATAGTAAAATGAACTTTTTCGAAGGGTCCTTCTTGATATATAACCAACCTCTTATCTTTCTTACTTACCTCACTTTCACCTGTTTGACAAAAAACGAACAAATGAGAGAACCTATTCTTTGTCTTACCTTTTATTCGTTATAAACGATAGCAGAAACTCAATTCTTATCTTACTGATGTTGTTGATGAATGAGGGTGTGCGTGTAGATGAAGAAGGGCCAACATCCTTACCTAATTCTAAAAAAATTGAGGATGTGGGTGTGAATGTTTACGTGTAGATTTGAGGGTGATGATTGTTAATATTCTCTTGGCTCACACTTACATGCGCAACTATACTCATACCCATACTTTTAACTAAATAATTTCCTCTCATTTTCCTACGACTCACAAATTGAAGGCGTATCGAAAAAACATGTTTATTCATTAATGTATACCTTCAGACTGCTTCTACTCGTAATATCAATCGAAATGAAAGAAAAAGGTAACCGTTTTTCTCTCAATTTTCTGCTTGACTTGTCACGTATCATGACTTGGAACAAAACGTGATATAGTGCTATTGGAAGAAGTATGCCAGTCGTTGGAACCATTTATCGATGATTTGTCTACTTATGTTTCGATAGCGAAAAAGACTGACGCATTCCAGTCGATGACTTGTCTCTAGACGAGTCTACAGTCATTCATCTCTACACACTGAAATAAACGGCATACGAATAAAGTCCATAAGTCATACTTAACCGAACGCTCCTTGCTCCAGATCGGTCATACATGATGGTGAAACCATGGTTCAAATATAATCTCACACGATTAGAGACATGGAAAAAAACAATATAACCAAAATATATATAATTACTATATCACTGTTCTTGCACGTATATTTTTATTCAAGCAGAAACTGTTTTCTATTAAAGAAAAACTGTTAGACAGTGTCTTTTAGCGCAGACAAAAATCGACGTCATTGAAGAAATATCATGCTTGCTTTATATTTTAACAATAGTTCCATCATTAAATCCATGCAAATAAACTTGTTCTACTGTTTATCTTCACTTCGATAATACATAATAGCATTGTTTATTTTATCAGTGATCGGATGTTTTTTTGTTTTGCGTTTGTTTTTTATTACTTGTAAAATTAACTAGTGACATTAAGATAATAGTCGTTAACTGCAATAGAAACAATACAATGGAACTTTCAGAAAAATCTGACTATTAATATAAGTTAGTTTTACAAGTATTACGCGATAATTTAGAGTATGTTATTCATCAACTATTATATATTTTCTTATTTAGCAAGATTGCTACATACGATTGAGATCATCTAATGAATTATTCATATTCGATTCTTACGTTTTATGCCGACAGAACGATGAACTAAATTTTTGTATTCCATCCTATTTTGAAGAGAATAGTGACTTATATTGAAAGTGTTTTTCGAAAACCTTCACTGATATTAACAGGAATTTTGAGAAACTAAGTACCATCTATTTTAGAAAAAAAGACATGTTTTTTAGCTAATCCAATTCTTAATAGTGAATGCACTATCAATCGGAAGAGTTCACGAGATGTTCTACAGTTTTTTCTATTTCACGCATCGTTCGAATTTTCACATATGTTGTTTTTGGTATACTCTTGTAAATCACATCATATTCGACTATGGGTGTGGATTTGATTGTGGGTAAATGAAGAAAAGATCCTCCCGTTTACTCGCACCCACACCCACAACAATTCCTCAAATAAGTAATATTGATATCAGCACAGTTGTCCAATTAGAACAAATAGGAATATTGAATGAGCCTCTGTGATAGGAGCAGAAATAAAAATAAGTCAGACCAATACATCAGTAACTGTGTAATCTTCTGTAACACCGATTTCGCGTAGACCATACTCTAATTCAATCGATATTCTTAATAGACTACTTTCATTTGATTTTGATTTGATGCCTAACATTCAATTTGGGCTCCTTATGCCTTACAAAAAATACAAGAAAACAAAAACTAATGTCATACAATGAAAAGACATGGATTTGTACGAGAGTCTATTGGTCGTATATGACCAACATAAATCCTCAAAGATGAACAATTCATCTTGCACATTGAACTTCTATGTTTCACTAGCAACATTAGAAAAGACTGAGCATTTGACGCGAATGTTATGTTCCATTAGGATAGAAAGAGATGAAATTCATGCATGGAAAAATAGGATGTCAGTTTGATTAAGTTGTTGATTCTAAAAAAGTAGTAAGAAAAGTATAGCGCTTGAGCTTTCTTCATGAAAATCATATGTAGAAATAATGCAAGTGACAGCAGACATATCTCGAACTTAACGAATCGTTTTCTTTTTGAGCATCAACTTAGTTGTATCAATCTATCTTGTGAACACAACAAACAACGAGAACATTTGTAGAAAACAGATAAATCTATTTTTTGTATTCCTACTTTATGAAATTGAATATGAGTCTAAATAAGTGAAAGTCCGTCATGATTCACGATACAAAGATCACTATTTTAGAGAACAGCTTTGTCTTCTATATCGTCTAGGTTCTTTTTATGTCGTTTAACGCGTCATTGTTGTTCGAGAGTTAAGATATATTTTAGATATCGTTCATTTCAAATGATCAAAATTTTGTCAGAATTCTTTAAATGAATCGGTCATAAAAAATAATATGAACTGAAATCCGATATCCGAATGCTAAGTAAACAATCAGATGGTCTTTTCACATGTTTAACATCTTAGACTAGTTTGAAGACATCTTATCTATCTCCCCGAACTCGCATTGGATCTTGCAGCAAATAAATAGATCAAATAAATAATTATATTCTTTTTTCCTTCTTATCATTACTGAACTGAAAAATGTCTGTATTTCATTCTGGCTCTGTGATTTCAAAATGCAGACTAGGTTCAATCAAAAAAAATGCAATAGTTCTCTTTTAAAAAAATAGAAGTATTTTTAAAAATAAAAAACTAGTAATATATTATTGCTGTTTTCAGTCTTGACTTGGTGCCAGGAAATATATCTTTTACGTAGATCGAATTCATTTAGAAATACTTCAATAATTTGTTTTTTTCGAGACTAATATTTCTTAGAACAACGCTCCGATCTCATTATTTTTTGCACAGTATTGCGCTTCTTACTCACTCTATCTGAAATCAAATTTTGCCTCAAACCAAGTCATCGAGCAATAAACTGATTTCATTTACATACAATATTCTAACTATGGTAATACACTAAGCTAATAAACTTCTATTTCCTTAAGAGAGATTTTCAATGTATTTGAGAGATCTAAGCAGCTTCAAAGAAAATTTTAGAAAGACGCTTTTATTGTTATGCATATTTTTTGTGTTCGCTGCGTTGTTTTTAAGAACTCCTTCGTCCTGTCAAAAGTCAAGGGTTTTTCAAATTAATCGATTTTAAGATTTACATATGATTGAACATCCCAAAGTATCTACTTTCGAATATAGTATAGTGTATTGGGTTTATCTTCGATTATAAGACTTTTACAGAAGTTATTCTCTTTAAAAACAAGTTATTTTTGGTGGTATTCGTTGAAAAAAATGCTAATATCTAGGATAAAAATATGTCACACATGCTTCTGCATATGTTTGTTGGATTGACCATAGTTAATGAATTATAACAAGCTTATCTCAATATTTTTTCTGTACTGCTTTTTGGAAGAAAAAGAAAAGAATTTGATTTTCTTAGTCAAAATTTGTTTTTTTGTTCTGTTTTTTATCGTAATTTATCAGTATTTTAAATCCTCCTGCCACAATTTCCGGGCTAGACTTTTAAGAGAATGATCTTATTTGAAAGATCAAAGAAAACTGCATCGATTGATTTATCGCTTGTTTTCAAGTGTGTCAATGTCTAGAATCAGAAATTTTCTATCGAATAAAACCACTCCGAGTTCAATATCTTAATACTTGTGAGAGGAGACTCATTTTTACGAAACCCTACTTTTTGAACAATGAAATAATTTTTTCCTTTTTTGCTTGGAGAAACTTTGATCAGTTAAAAGTTTGTACATGACAGTACGCTACAGTGTTCTATTACTACTAAAAGTTTCAGCTTGATTGATTCACAGGGAATCGAGAATCGCTTTTTGACAAGAATAGAGAGCTGACAGATGAAGACAGAATAAGTTGAATATGATATTTACAATGAAAAATTTCTAATCTATTTTGACGTAAAGAAGAATGGAAAAATTTCAGGTTGATGCCATGCTTCTCATAGATAAAGGCGAAAAATAGCATCAAAATGAAAGAATCATACTGCAAGATGACAGCATGAATATAAAATATTCAATATCTTCTAGATTTGTTGCCACATTAATATATTCAGTTGAGATATTTCTGTTGACGGAGTATATCTGCTCTCGGTTTTCTCACATATATTTTTATTTGAATTCTAGTTTATTCCAGAAAGAAACCGAACTACGAAAAATTACTAGCTTGTTTATCTGCTTTGTGTAGCCAAGTATGAGCAACATAAACTGTGTAGAATAACAAAACTTATGAATTCATTTTTCGTTCTATACAGCAGAGTACATAAAACGTAAATATTCACAACAGATTTTTAAAACTTATATATTCTGCAACCTTGAGAGTTTATTGATGTTCTAAGTATATATCAACATCATTCTCTTCGTTTACTATTCTTCACATTTGTACTTTACTGTTTATTATAACAAACTTCTTTTGTCTCTTTTGACATTTATATTCTCAGATCGTTATGAATTGCCAAAACGATATCTGTGAGCAACGCAAATAGAACTAATACAATCTGATGTATTGACTTTTATGTATATCTGTACTCATTGATTAATTTCAAGAGAAATGAATGCAACATCAGATTCTACAGATTACTCTGTGATTATCCCAATTTCAATTATTTTGGCATTAATCGGCATCTTTCTTGCATGTCTAATCATCTTGGTGGTTGCATTTACGAAACGTTTATATACTACCACTTATTTGTTGATTTGTAATACATGCCTCTCGTCGACATTTTATTGTGCAGTACAATGTAGTAACTATGTTTTTCTCGATTTTATCGTTTGGGATAGCAGTGACATATCATGCCGATGGCGTGGCTATTTTGCCTACATGTCCATTGTTGCTGTTGTTTATTCATATTTGATTCAAGCAATATCACGTTATTTCTTCGTTGTACTCTCTATGAAATATCGATGGGTAACATCATTACAAGCACATCTTACTCTTATTGCTGTTCAATGGATCATTGCTATACTCTTGCCATTACCTGCCATTGTCACTAAAGACATTTATTTTGCTTCGAATGCACTTTGTTGGGTCCGAAAAAAATTTATCATCCATGTTGCTTACACATTTCTAGCCTATTACTTCCTGCCAACAGTATGCATTATTATTCTTTATATCTACCTTTTTCGTCGAGCAAAACATAGTATCAATGTTTCTGTTGCACCAGTAACAGAACCATCCAAACGACAAAATCGTGATGTTGATCTTCTTCGTAATCTTATGATCTTGTTTAGTATCTATATATTTGGTGGATTTCCAACGCTTTTGTATTTGATCATTGGTAACAATGTTTTGTATTGTATAGGACTCATATTTGTTGCGTTAGCCGTTGCTATTGAAAAGGCAGCGACCATATTTCTTGATCGGCAATTACGAACAACAATCAAGTATACTTTTCGCTATTCAAAAGCACGTATCACACCAATGAAATTCAATGTTGCTATCAGGACAGTTGTAGAAGGAACTAGAAAACCGATGGCCCAATTTGCCAAATAAAACAAAAACGTTTTTTGGTAGCCAACAAAAAGAAAGAACATATCATATTCGCTTTGGTCTTGATATAGGAGATTAACAAAAGACAAGACAATCGTCGTCGTGTTTGTATCCTTTTGTTTTGTTTTGTTTTGATGTCAAACTACATATATCGAATATATCTCTTTCACAAATATCTTTAATAGTATGTGTGCAAAAACTGTGCATGCGCATGAAATTCATTCATGCTGTAAGCACATTGTTTCTATAGCTACGATATAATCAGCGGTTTGATTTAGAGCTAGGGGGAAACGGCAGACTTTTGCACTTCAAGTTACTTTATGCTACTTTGAAGTACTTCGAGCTACTTTACAGGTACTTTGGGCTACTTTGACTACTTTGAGTTCCAAAAACAAAACAAAAGTGTTCTGTTATGGGAATGATGGTCCAAAAATAGAACAAAAGTGTTCTGTTGTAGGAATGATATCCCACAACAGAACACTTTTGTTCTTTTTCTGGGATTCATTCTCAAAAACAGAACAAAATTGTTCTGTTTCTGTGAAACTTTTCCTAAAACAGAACACTTTGGAGCACTTGGACGTAATTTTAAGCACGTTGTCGTACTTTGAAGTACTCTGACGTAATTTTAAATTACTTTAACGTAATTTAAAAGTACTTTGAGCTACTTTAAGCTACTTTGATCTACTTTGAAGTACTTTAAACTAATTTTGTACTTTGTTGTACTTTTCTACTTCAAGTCTGCTGTTTCACCCTAGATTTAGAGTCAAACCTATCTTTTTTGAATACCTTCAGAATTGATGAAAATCGTTCTCGATAACGAAGTGATCGTATTGGAGAGATGTTAGAAGAAAACGAATGAAAAGTTTCAACTATATATTTTTAATTGAACATTCGCTGCCGAGGGTCAAGTCAAGTCGATCTTATTAAAATGTTTTCCTTCTCATCAAGACATCAAAAATATATCATGATTTTATTCATTCTGAACAAACAGGAGAAACAAGCTTCTGACAAAGCTTCCAAATAATAATAAACAGAGTAATTTCAAAAAAGGGTATAACAATTATCTGAATTCAAGTTCATAGAAAATATGAAAACAACGCATTAAATAATAAGAATTTTCATTATTCAGTGTCACAAATACAAATCAGTAAAGTGAATTACCGAAGAGTCTTGCATGCAATTCGATGATGATGAGAGCGAAACAGAGAAGTACGTTGCGACAGTATTTACTGAAAAACAGCAGAGATTGCTTTAATATGTAAATATTTCATGGTTAGTGTCAACAATGTGTTGTATGATTCATATTATGTGGCTGCTAATGTGGGTATTGGTGTGGTTATAAGTGAATGAGTTAATATTCGCTTTCCTCACTCTCATATCTACTTCAGAATGCACATAGGCTTCATTCAAAAGTAATTAATCATTTAGAGGACTCCTTTCGTGAGCCTGCTTTGAATTAAAATATCAAAAAACTTGTTACGTCTGATTCGAAAAAGAACAAATTCTATTTGTAAAGAATTATCGTCTTCGTTACTATTTATTTTCATGCAACATTAATAGAAAATAAATGTCTCTATAAAAATAAATGAATATTTAACATGTAAAGATATATGAAAGCAAATCACAAAGAGAAAATATTGTTATTTCTCATATTTAGCTACTTTGGTCATCTGTAAAATATCAGAACACCTTTCAAATATTCTTGAAAATCTATGAACACCAGACTAATAACAGCAAACACTCATTTGAAAGGGCTTTGATCCAGAACTTGTATCACTTTATCGAAACTATGTCTTTAACTATCTCCCAATATTTTATTCATTGCACTTTGGCATACATGATTGTCTACGAACACCAGTAATTTGAAAAGATTTATTTTGAAGTGTAGCTGTCGGTAAAAGTCTTCTGTATCCCATTCACGTGTGCTTCATATCAATACTCGCATTCCGACGTCGACGACAGCATGATATCTTAGAATCTCCTGATTTCTTAAATATGTCATAGAGGATAATAAGTTTAGTAAGTGCTGAAATTCTCAGCCCGATCCGATTACTTTTCTAAAGGTTAATATTTGAAATATTCATGAAAATTTTTAATTGATTATTATTTTCTGACTTTTTAATCATTGTTTTTGTAAATATTATTTCAAGTGATACAGTTTTGACATTAGGCTCTTTTAATCATAACGTGTAGTCATTTATATTACCACCTACAAAAGGAAGGGTGACGGCTTGTAGGAAAACCGGTCCATTGGATTTTCATGATCTGTTCGTGTAGAAATAAAGAAGATGATGACAGAACGTATACCTTATTTTTTAAAATGATTTTAGTATATATTTACAGACTCAGAAGTCGATTACATTTTCAACTTGATACATATTATATAAGGGTCCTTGATTACCAAGTTTTTACCTGTGTTTCTTGAGGCAAGTACTTGTTACTTAATGCAAACTAAACAAATTATATACGGACAGATGAACCAAAAAAGATACTTCAAAACCTACATAAATATTATTTATCAAAGATGTAAAGAGAAAAAAGCAAGTTCTTGCCCAAATACTTGCTGATTACCATTAAGATATGACGCCAACGTCTACTATAAACCATTATATGCCCTGAGTTAGAATTTGCGCACTCTGAGTTTGTACCAATCGATAGAGCTTTTCATGGGTTACCAGTCAATGCACAATTGGGCAGGAAAAAAGCCACGAACATCTATGGAATTAACAAAGTTTTGTTCAAATAGGCAAAAACGTCAGTTTTTCAGCAGAATTCAACGACATCAGTCGTAATAATTATCTTTTCAATCAAAACATATAGCATATGCAAAATCAGTATGTATAAAGATATCGATCTATGCATGTTTAATTTTTATACGACTTTGATTTTGGGTCAATAATATTGAAGCGCTAGACCTCCTCTGAGCTGCCTGAAAAAATATGTTGAAAAATAAAAGCCGTCAAACAAGTTTGGAAGCACATACATAAATTGGCATCTTTTCTACTGATTTTAAATATAGTATCTGTTTTGATTGAAAAGATAATTATTACGACTGATGTCACTGGATGCGGGCGAAAAACTACCGTTTTGGCCTATTGAAACAAAATTTTCTTGATTCCATAGATGTTCGTGACTTTTTTCCTGACCAATTGTACATGAACTAGAAGCCGATGAAAACCTCTATCGATTGGTATATATTTAGAGGGAGCAAACTCTAATTCAGGGCATATAATGGTTTATAATGAAAGTTGGCGTCATGTTTTAATAGTACTCAGCAAGTATTTGAAAAGAACTTGCTTTTTTTACATTTTTGATAGACAATATTTATTTAGATTTTGAAATATTATTTACGGCCCACCTATCCGTGCATGATTCGTTTAATTTGCATTAAGTAACAAGTACATACCTGAGAGAATACATCTAAAAGCTTAATAATCGATGATCTGTATATAATACGTATCAAATGGAAAATGTAATCGAGTTCTGTGCCTGTAAACATCTACTAAAGTCATTTAAAAAATATAAGGTACAGTATCTATCATCATCTTGTCTATTCCTATACGAGCGGAGCATGAAAACCCAATTGATCGATCTCCATACAGACTGGCATGCCCACTTTTGGAAAGTTTGTTTAATTAGATATAAAATATATTGATAATGCAAAATGAACCTTATATTATCCTTTTCGACATTTTCATAAAGCAACGCTGGTTCGAGTGCATTTACACGGCAACAACAAAATTCTTCGATAGCATGGGGTTGTGACTGTGACTGTAAGTGCGTGTAAATAAATAGAAGAGCACGACAATACTTACACTCACACCCACGCCTCAAGAGCGCGCAACTTCTACTTGGAACATTTGAAACTAGTATCGAACTATGTTCTTCGACGAATCGACTCCAGAAAAGGTTGAATATGAATCTAACATAGCCTATGTATAGAGCGATCTGGTGCCTGTGAAATTAATTAACCATGAATGATAAAGAACATGTAAAATAAATAAAAAAAGGCACGCTTTCTTTTTGACTTATCGTATTCAACCTACATCAACAAAAAAAGATGCCATACCGAACCATTTTGTTGCCAAAGTCGACATCTGAAGATAAAGTTTCGTAAAAACCTAAGACACCTTCAAAATGATTGTCAACGGTGTATGAAACCTTTTTAGGCTTCATAATACGTACGAAACCGAAAAAAGTTTTCGCAAATGGTATTAAGCCTAAAAAGGTTTCTATGCAAGCACGAAGCCCTCATTCGTTCTGTATGGTACCTACTTTTTCAGCGTAGTGAGACACAAAACAAATATTTATGATGAGACAAATAATTGCACGGCATTTCATTTGATAGATACAAACGAAGGTGATAAGAAGTCGGTTTATTTTTTAACCCATGACAAAGAGTTTACTCAATGTGCTTTTATTAGTGATGATTCGTGCAGAAACACAAGCCAATGATCTAAGTGAGTGATCGATTTAAATTATCCGCAAATAAACGGGTTCAACGTCTAAATTTAATTTCCATTCAAGATTGTTCTACAGTCAATCCATGTGGTCAACGTGGATATTGTATTGATAACAAGAATCAAGACGGTGATGCATGGAGATGTGAATGCAAATTTTGGTGGGAAGGAAAGACGTGCGAATATCGTAAGTGGATTCAGAATTTTTGTGAGAATGGGATTGGTCATCATTTTACTGTTTCAGAGTCAGCCTCAGGAAAAGAAGTTATCGGATTGGGTATTATTACTGGCATTGTAGTCTTATTCTATTACATATTAGAAATCATTTGGCGTATCCGCAAGAAGAAGAAAGCACGAAAAACGAATAAAAATAAACATGAGACTAATTCGTCAATGAAAACTACTGAAGAACCATTGAATAATAAGGAAAAAACAGCATTTCGTTGTCTCTCATTGTTAATCGTCTTGCCTATGATAATTGTTGTTACAATAGCTCTAATTATTCGATGGATCATTGTCCAGCCAATTCATAACGATATTGTTGATAAATATTATCGTCAAATGCCGATTTATTATGTTCAGAACTCGTTTTGTTCATACGTCGATGATCAAAGTCTGAACATATTCACATTTCCATTTGCTTGTCTATTGATTATTGTTTTTGCCATTATTTCAAAGCGAGTCTCGTTCAAACGTGATACATGTCAAGGTCATGTAGCACCAATTATTCCTCTCAATTTTTTCACTCATATCGAGCGAACATTTGGCACCATGGTATTTGCTATTATGTCCAATCATTTTTTGGTTATTCTTCAGGAAGCTTTTCATCAAGACAAAACCAGAAGAAACGGTACAGTGTTGAGGAAAAATATTTCATATGCTGTTCATGAGATGTCGGAATATCCCAAATTTGAGAAATGTAAAAAGATTTTCTCCGATTAGAACTTTGCATCATGTTGTCTTACTCTCAGAAATAGTCTCTGAAAAGTTGATGATATTCGAAAAAATTGACTCTCATCATGTTTCTTATTGTTCACTGTAGGTTCGATAATCCAATACTTAAAAAACCTGGCTCTAGTGCTCGTTATCGGTATTTGCTACTATCCCATGTTAGCTGCTGTTTATATCGATACGATTTTTACATTGAGCTGTGCAACAATTTATACTTGGCTCTATTTTATCATCACAGTTCTCCATCAGGGCTATTGTCCAAGATCTTATTATCCAACTGAAAGTGATTATAGAGCAACAAATTCTTCGACTGATATCATTAAATATCTCTCCTACTATGGTACCGGTCCGAATCTGATTATTATTGAACTGTGCACTGATATTCCACGATACTTATGTTTAGCTTATGTGAGTATTCGATTACCCATTATACTTGTCGGTAAGATTCATCAATATCGATGTAATAAAGAGACTAATGAATTGAAGCACACACAAGAAGAACGATCGTTTTTTATTGCTGCACAACCATATTCCGTTGAAAGTCTTTATGTAAGAAATCTTTTCCGTTCTGCAAATATACGTTCTCGTGGTCAGTCGTTAATCGCTCGTCTAATACCTAAATCTGTCTATGAGTGGCATGATGATTTTCGTTTTTCATCACGTATTCTCTGTATCTATGCAGCTCTTTTTCTCCTACTATTCTTTATTACCATTCAATTGATTATTCAACAATTACCGAATCTGCTACATTGGCAAATCATGATTCAAATTCGGATTGGTGCCATAAATGCCAACATAGTCGATAATCAAACCAGTAAGCCACAAAACCAGTCATCATCTGCTTCGGCCGATTCAACACTGAAAACTCCATTTATCATCGCTGTTTTTACAGCACTTATCATCACTGTCATTCAAGTAATGGTCCTATTAACAAGAATTCGACGCCATTTATTACAAATATTTTGTGGCAATCATAGCGAAATAGCGAAAAGAGAAAATTCAAACAATATTTTGTATGCAACGGGTAATCTTCATTTTGCAGGCTTTTTTATTGGCTATGCATTCTGGGGTTATATTCTATGTTTCTTCTTAGCATTTGTGATTTATATTATTATTGATAAATTAATACAAAATAATGGAAAATCATTTGAACAAATTCTCAAAGGCATCATACCAGTATTTATTTTGAGCATGTTGAAGTTTTATCTCAATCTATTTATTTCCAAATATGTTTTCTTAGAGCAACAAGGTCAAATTCTTGCCATTAAGAATCATCGTATATCAATAATTTTACTGTATTTTAATTTTTTTCTCGACGCTTTTCTCGGTATTGTTGCATCGATTACGCGTATCATCAATAGTATTCTAACAACGATCATATATATGTCACGTCTCGACTATTCACCGTTGGGTCGCCAGCGCGAATATGGCGATGCAGGTTTTTGCGCCTATTCCGGTTTCATTCAAATGGAAGCAGTTCATCGAAATCCAATTATGTTGGCATTTGCTAGTGTTCTTCTAGTTCATCAAAGAACGAAACAAAGCAATCCGTCGTCGAAAGCAAGCAAAAAATGGCGTTTAGCCGTATTACTGATTCGCAATCCATCGTTACTTACCATGCGAAAAGCGATACTTGCTCAAAAGGCAAGATATTTAGCATTGTTGCAAACAATGATGACCTCTGAATTCGAACTCTCGTCGAGTGTAAACTTTGAAAATGCATTGAAGACAGGCTTACATAGTGAATATATAAGTCATGGACACGTTTCATCGAATAATCCAGACATTATCCTACCCAAATTATAATCAAATCATTTTACTTTTCTTACAATCTAATAAGAAATAAACTCTCTTCCATAGCAGAGCTTTCTGCATGTGACAATATTCATATGCCGTTCCTTTTTCATCATTTCTCTTCATGTCATCCGTGTCTCTGTTCGAAATTATACGCAATTTCACTGCTTTAGCATTAGGATTGTTTCTTTCCGAAGAAAAGTTCTGATACTCCATTCTAGTAGTATTACTATATCTTCAATAAAAGAGATATCGTACGCATGAACTCTAGCCCTGCTTTTGTGAGAAGACCTGAAGTGATGAGGATTACTTTCTTAAGACATAGGACAGAATTCTTTTGCATTGATTTTCTTCATATTTACAGTAGCATTATGCATAATGCGTCATTTTCTCCAAAAGCACCTTCAAATGAACGGAAACTAAATGCTTGTCGTATCTTTTTAGGAGTAGAGCATGTACTTATCCACCATTTTATCGTAGAAATAGATAGTAACATTCATATTTATACTTGCATATACGACGCTGACGGATTGAAATTGATTTACTTATGTTACACAACTAGACGGTAGGATGCTGCAAGATCATACATCTGATTCTGTGTTATTTTGCAAGATTAGATGGAAATCGTACGGAAAATCGTGGTTCCTGCAATCCTGTACTAAGTCTTACTATAGAACTCTTGAGAGATTTTGTTGTCACATGAAATTTTGCAAAATTTTACAGATATATTTTGTGGGACAATAATATCTTTTCAAGAATCTTCCGGTACGACTTACGTTAGTGTAAGAATACAGTTACCACGATTTTGCGTCTGCTCTGGCAATATTACACAAGATCAGATGTTGAAGTTCGTAAGATTGTAAAAGCTGATTGTTGAATGTGATTAGATCAATTCGAACCGTAAGCTATAAGATATATAGATATGAATATAAATCTGAGTATCCACTTCTACAACAAAATGGTAAACTAGTACATATTCTACTCATAAAAAGATATGACAAACAATTATTTTCTGTTCATATGGAAGTGTTATTGTTGCCAATCACATATTATACATATTACTGCTATGAATACAAAGAAAACCTAAAAATAAAGTTCCCGTCTTAAGTTTGAAAAAAGTTACCTCCATTAATCTCAAACTTTTGCAATAATGTGACATATAACTTTGTATGTAGGAAAAGTTATGACCGTTACCTTTCTCTTTTTTTTATTAATATTTCCTGTTTTCTTTTAGAATTTCATTAGCATATAATTCCTTAAACTTCGAAATCGCCAACAAAGGAGGGCAACATCTAGCTGATTCGTTACAAAAGAACATAGTCACCCTCCTTCTCTTTTTCTTCATCTATCTAATAGATTCAATCTGCACTTTTCACATGACCATTCACTAGACTATTCTCGCTGACATTCAAGTCGAAGTCGAACGTGAAAGCTATATGTTAGGATTGATTGAACGGGATAAAAGACGGGCCAAATGATGAACGTTGCTACTAAAGGTGATATGATGAAAAACGAAAAGCTATTGATGCATATGTGACTAGGACTTTTCATGTTTTTGTTCCAAAACGAAAATAAAGATCCTTGTGTTATGGATGCAGTGTTGACGGCAATGTTTTTATCGTAGTACTTCTGTTATTTTGAAATATTGAAGGCATGAAATATGGTTTTCTTCATAGCTATGTATGAATCGTCAATGGAAAGCGATAGTATCGGGCTCATTGTCTCATAAGTATGAGTTTATGCAAGGATCGTTAACAAGCTACTAGGTTAATTTTTGGGCATGGATGTCGGTGTCAGCATGTACTTTCCCTACACTCACACTATTCATATTGTTCAACAAGAATATAAGTATGCATTGTTCCTGGTTATGGAACAACAATAATAGATGGTTTAAAAGTCTTCATATATTAATTTTATTCTCGATTAAAACAGTAAGATTAATCAATAACAAACAAAATAAAAACAAAATTTATTTAAATCTCGAAAAAACAATTTCATTTGTCTGATTATGTTATCTGCTACAATCGATTTCAAAATATCACCGGAAAGAGTTTTTTTTTAAATAAAGTTTATATTTATTCATATTTAGCTGCATTTCACTTTTTCTATATTTAATAGAAGTTGTTTTTTTCAGATAGGTTTGATATCATGAGGAAGAATATTTTGAAGTTTTGATATTAACATGATTCTTTTTCTTATGGATTGCAGCTAGTGAAACAAGGGAAGATCTTATTGAGCCTCAAAGTGTGTATACCACATACTATTGCTATACAGAAACCACCATATTGGAAAATGAATGGTTGAATTTGATCGATCTATATGTGCTGCCTCGTATGGTTGTGGATTTCAGTAATATTCATGAAAAAGAATGCTTGTAGAAATTACAAATAGAAAACATCTATACAGATAAAAAAGAACTGGAATCGGAAGAATTTACTAAAGCTTTATATAAGAATGTTATGTATTTATTTGTTTTTAAGCATTGTTATGTATTGATCAATTGTGTTAGAGAATCTATCTAAGTCGTGAACCAATATCACAAGAGAGAAAAATGAAAAGCGAAAACTAGATAGAGGATATATATATATATACATATCGATAGATGATGGGAATTGATAAAGTTTGTTTTTACTGACAAGATTAAGAGAATTCAAATATTTGATTCAAATTGCCATAATATTTCATAAGATATTTATACAAAAAGTATTGTTTATTTTTAGAATACATTTCGACAGGAATTTCTGACAATGCATCCAATTTTTAATCAAAGTGCGTATATAATACATTGACAAAGTTATTGAGAAAAACGTTTTATCTAATTTATTGATTGTTAAAAAATTGAGTCCAGGTTTTTTTCCTTATAATTCACCTAAGTTACTATCCAAAAAACAAACATATGTGGTTCAGAGACAACTTGACAAGTATTATCTAATGATGTAAAATCTGAACAAAGTTGAATTTGTAAGTTAGAAGTAAGAGATCAAATATTTTGTAAGTCGTACTTACTGAGATTGGTCTTATGTCAAAAATAATTTATTATCTGAAGCAGCTCTGTTAGTAACCAATTCAATAAAATGAGGTGTGAGGGTCGGTGCGGATGAGACTATGCGCATTCTCTTGTTCTACAGACACTCATATTCATATACATTCATTGATCTTTCAATAGACGTCATATTTATCTCCATGCTTTTGCGTGTTTAACTTTTCAGTACTGATTGTTCTCATACTGTAGTTGTCGTACTCATCGTTTCGATCCCTATAAATTAACTGCATACATAATCTGCTACGTACTCTATATTCGTCTTGTCATATCTGATGTTTCTACAAAATGTATATTACTTATAAATAGTAGGAAGTACACATACATATACGATAAAATAAAATGCTAAATAATTATATGATCTTATTTTAATAATATAACTTGATATCAAAATGGGTTGATAAAATATACTGAATGTACTAAGATGAACTTTGACTCAATAGAATACTTTGATACATTTTTCCTAATAGAACTAATCTTGAACATCAGTAGAAAGTATTTGATTTGCGAAAAAAAACACTTTTATGATCGATTTGTTTTCAAAGCATGTCAAAACTCAAAAACATTGAGACCTGCTGGTGAAGAATCTTCTATCAGAAATAAGTGTGGGCGATTCTAGATCGAAATCGTAATGAACGATTCGGATCCCAAAAGAATTCAGCTTTGCTCATATCTAACCGGAACGAAATGGACTGGTTGTTTACCATTACCGGTTACAACTCTGATTCACTATTGTTTTGATATAGTGCAGAACAAAAAGCGATTGTTTAAGAATTGATTTGATTATCAAGAACATCCGTTCAACGTTCTATTCACAACTAATCACAGTTCATATGACATGCAGGTACTTATATCCAGTTCCAAGTTCTTGACATGTCAGTTTTGAAAATATTCATATATGCTATTTAAAAGATGTTCAGCAAGGTGTTTTCTATAAATTTCACATACCTGGGAATTATACTCACATAAGTTTTGAGAAAAAAACACAATTTCTCAGATAAGAACGAAAACATGAAGTTGGCTCATAATAATTTTCAGACAAGACAAAAATATGGTCCAATAATCGTTCATCTTCATTTTAAGGAGTGTGCATGTGGGTATTAGTTTCTGTTCGTGTACACTCACAACCACAGTCACATGCTAAAATTTTACAAAGAAATGCTTCAAGATAAAAAATTTTCTAAATTAGTTATTTTCACGCATCGTGTTTTACTTTATCATGTTTTTCGTTTAATCGATAATAGCAGGGTAAGAAAACATTATTTTCAATATTAAATATTATTTTAACTTTCATCTTTCAANACAACACTATGTTTTGTCGTTCTAATAGCGGAGAAAATTTTTCCTGACTCATTTTTATACCTAGATTTAAAAATTAAATATCTTCCTCTAGGCAAGCCGCGGGCAGCTAATATTTTACCCCTGTTAGTCTCTCGTCGAGGGCTATCATTTGATACCAAAATAGTTAAGGAAATCGTCTGACATGACAGACGGGTCCATTGCCAGATCAACACACACGCCCAGAACAAATCAAGGCTTATGTAGGTTCTATAAAACATAAAAGCTTTCTATTATTATTTGCTTTTCATATTTTTCTGACATAAGATCTATTTTTAGAGGGTCAGTTTATATTTTCGTTACTGCTAAGTCGTATTCAATAAGATATTTATTGAATTTCGTTAGCATCTCTGCTCATATGGAATTCTTGGTTCTTAATATAAGATAATTAAATTGTTTCTTGACGAACTTCTATTTAAAATAATTTTTGACTTTCAAACATTTCAATAATGTCATTCCTTTCGTATACTGATACCAGCTAAACAGGATCAGAAGTTATTTTTCTTTTGACATAAATAACAGGCCAAGAATAGTTTTGATCAAAGTCCATCTTCTGTTGGAATTGGATTTAAGATTTCAAATGATACTAGAGATTAGCAGGAATTATGCACAGAAATAGTATAGATAGAACCAA